ATTTAAGAGAAAAGAAAATGAGTCAGTGTGAGCTGCCAACAGCTGGCTGACAACCTTGAGCACTGGGTGGGTTGGAAACCATCCAGACTTTGCATAAGGAGTTCATTTTGGGTTAGTTTAAAAAAAAGGTGGGGGGAAGGAGTTGGCCCAGATCCTGTTCTACAAATTCAGGAACAAGGAGTTGAGATTCCCTTCAGAAACTGCTGGAGGGTGGCTCTGCAGGTCCGTTTGCCAAACACTATTTGACATCTGCTTGTTTCCCTGCCTGATACAAGAAGAACCGTTAACTGTCCAGGTTTTTCCTCTGACAAGCCAAGGATTCAATGCAGCAGTTGAACCATGTGAAGGTTAATTCCCTCTTTTCTCTATATCCCTTTTAGAAAGATGTATTATTTCTACAGACTTCAGATTTTTTTAAGCTTCTTTGTCTTCTTCCTCTTGAATCTTATTCACCCTCACTTTGGGTTTAGCTTATTAGGCTGAGGCTAATTTCAGTAGCATAATAAAAAACTTCACATTCGTTAAAGAATTAAATCCCCTTAGTTCTCTAATGTGTCTCACCTTTTCAAAGTAGTAAAAATGTCATGTTTCAAACAGTAATAGCCATTTTTAGTTTCAAAGTAACAAGTGGTCAATGTAAAAAAGATTAGACAATGCAGAAAGGCATAAAGAAAAGAGTAAAAATCAACTGAAATCCAACCACTGGAGAAAACTAATCACCATTAACATTTAAATATATATGCTTGCCATCTTATTTTCTTTTATTTTTCTTACAAAGGTAGTCATAAGTTATTTGGTAATCTGATTATTTTTACATATACATTGGACATATTTCCATGGGAATACAACAGATCACTATCACTGTTTTTAAGAGGTACACAGTACTTCCATGTATAAATGTTCGTTGACTCATATTAATAGACATTTTTGCTAATACAAATCATGCTGCAATGAACTCCCCTGTACATACATCCTTGCCCACTTGTCCAATTACAGCAGGTACTCACTTAATGTCCCCTATAGGTTCTTGGAAATTGTGACTTTAACGGAAACAACTTTAAGCAAAACAACACATAAGGAAACCAATTTTACCAAAGGCTAATTGATATGAACAAAAGTTAAGTTCCTACAGCATATTTCTGGTCACTAAAATATCAAACTTCTAAATAAAGACCCTGAACACTTGTAATATTAAACATTAAAATAAATGTGAGCTATACATACATTTTTAAAAGATTAATGAAAACAAGTCAGGTCATTTTTTACCCAATTATTCCAGTTTAGGGTCTTGGGTGACCAGAGCCTGTCCCAGCAGCTCAGGGCACAAGGTGGGAACTAACTCTGGACAGGACGTCATCCTATTGCAGGGTCACTCACATGCTCACACACACCCACTCAGACTGGGCCATTGAGACAGGCCAGTTCACCTACCATGCACAGCCTAGGGATATGTGAGGCAACGGGAGAACACGGACAGAACCCACACAGACATGGGGAGAACATGCATACTTCACGCAGACAGTGGCCCCGGCAGGGAATCAATATTTTTTCTTGTCAATGTTGCAAGAAAATGATGTTGAATGACAGACACAACATTATTCTAGGACCTACTGTATTTCTTTATAAGTGCCTCTGAACAAACTTTGCTAGATCAAGTTATACACATATTTTTTAAGACCTCTGATACATAGTGCCAAATTGCCCTCCCATAGAAAAGCTGTACTTGTTAGTCAATGTCACTGATTTTGTAAGAGTGTGGTTTTTCCCTCCTACTCTTACAAATACTGGGTATAAGCCCTTTTTCCTAATTGAAAGATAAAAATTGGTACCTCCATATTTCACTTTCCTTTAATAACAAGGTTGAATTGTTTCTGTATGCTTACAGCTATTTATATTTTTTCTTTTTTGAACTGTCTGTTTTTTCTTGCGTCCATTTTTCTATTGGGATTTTTCATATTTTCCTTCCTGATTTGTAGGAACACATTATATACAAAGGTGAGATCTTCTGGGCTGTATTTCAGAAGCTTGATTGTCCCATGAGATGTTAATAGGTGAAGTGAGGGAAAAAAGACTTCCGTGGTCAGATTTAACACATCATTTCCTAAACTTCATTGACCATGAGGACTTTTTTCTTTTCCTCACAGAACACGCATTGGCATGGTTCAAGACACTGGTGTTCTGAGAACTAACATTTGAGAAATTGTTCTGTAAAGGATACTAATGCTTTATCTGTTACATATGTGGCGTGATTCCCCCTCCTCTGCCAATCATTTGTCCTTTCCTCTACATGTTTTTTCCAAATAGCTTTTAATTCGTGTATTCAAATCTCTCAATATTTTCTTTTGTGGTAATACAGAAGTAGGAACCCTGAAGTCATACTCGTTTGCTTTGAATCCTGGCACTACCACTTGTTGGGACCTTTGGAAAATTACCCTCTCTGTGCCTCAATTTTACCATCTAGGAAATGAGAAAAACTAATGTTACCAAATAAAGTGGTTGTGAGGATTAAATTACTTGACACAAGTAAAGCATAAAGTATTAGATGTTGTTGATGATGATGGTGGTGGTTTACTTTTTGGATCATTTAGAAAGTCTCCTCTGTTGTAAAAAAAAAAAATGCCCATATTTTATTGTCATATTTTTATGGAAGTTGATTTTGATATGAGCTATGGACTAAATAATTTTCTCTTTTCCCCAGTGCTTAGATAGATTCTTCCATTGCAGTTAATTGATTAATGCTCTCCTCATCATATACTATACTTTCTTTTTCTGAGTCTTTCTCTTCTGCTCAGTCTATTCTGATACCAAGGCCCCTTCTTTCCTATTCCTTTTCAGAACATTCACAGCTACATTTGCCTAAATCAAGGGCACATGTTGGATTCTCTCCGGGAGTTGCCCCAAGAGACCCTTGGTAGTGGAGAGGGGCCTGCAGGGTGGGATCCAGGTGTCTCTGATACAGGTGAGAAATGTGGATCCTACAGACTGTGAATTTTAACTGACAGTGTGCCCTGTTCATCCCCATGTGCTGCTGAGGCCTGATGTTGAGGGACAGCCTGGGGACTCTCTCAGGAACATTTAAACTCCAGTGTTGTTCATCAAATCACAGAAAAGGTGAGATCCTCATACTCTACCTGGTCCCTCCCCTTTCTGCTGCACCAGTCAAAATGACCTCTAAATGACCAGAAAAGACTTGATTAGGGGCAGAGGAGATTCTAACCTGACACATCCTAAGCTATGGAAAGAGAGCCAACTGGTCTCAGTTGATAGGAAGATTTGATACTAGGAGGCTCCATGAAGGTGATACTGGAGCACCATTGAGGATGTTTCACTCTGAGCTGAGAGTCCTTGGGTTGCCTGTCAGGCCCAGCACAGCCTTCTTTTCTGCACCACATCATCTCTTGCTCACTTGGTTCCAACCACACTGACCTCTGTTGTTCCTCAAACATGCTCCCACTTTAGGGCATTTGCACATGGTTTTTCCTCTAGAATGTTCCTCCCCTCCCTCTGACACCCACATAGCTTGTTCCCATGGAACTTTAAGGCTTTTGTTCCAATGTCACCTTGTCAGTGACGCCATCCCTGACCACTCTATTGAAAGCTGTGCCTTGAGATCCTCAACCTTTCTTGCCCTGTTTTTCTCCACAGTGCCAGTCACTGTCTGACCATCTATTTCCTCATTGTATTGTTGATTGTCTCTCTCCCGTAGAATGTGAGCTTCGAAGAGTCTACCTTCTGTTTGGTTTCCTGCTGTACTCTCAACAGCTAGAACAGAGACTGGCATATATAGGACTCCACTATTGTTTGTAGATGGAAGAGAAAATGAGTGTATCAGTCAGGCAAAGTCACTTGCATAATACTTCATGATGTGTCCAGGCCCAGTGACAATAGCATGTTTTCTGAGAATGTAGGATGACTTAAAGGACTCTGGATTTTTTTTTTTTTTTTTTTTTTTTTTTTTTTTTTTTTTTTTGAGACAGAGTCTCGCTCTGTCGCCCAGGCTGGAGTGCAGTGGTGCGATCTTGGCTCACTGCAAGCTCCGCCTCCGGGGTTCCCACCATCCTCCTACCTCAGCCTCCTGAGTAGCTGGGACTACAGGTGCCCGCCACCAGGCCGAGCTAATTCTTTGTATTTTTAGTAGAGACGGGGTTTCACTGTGTTAGCCAGGATGGTCTCGATCTCCTGACCTCGTGATCCGCCCACCTCGGCCTCCCAAAGTGCTGGGATTACAGGCGTGAGCCACCGCGCCCGGCCTGGACTCTGGATTTTCAAGCTAGCCTCTACAAATAAGATATCTCTAAAGTGGGGAGAAAGGCTGCTGATATGGTTTGGCTGTGTTCCCATCCAAATCTCATCTTGAATTGTAGCTCCCATAATTCCCACATGTCATGGGAGGGACCCAATGGGAGGTAACGGAATCATGGAGGTGGGGTTTTCCTGTGATGTTCTCATGATAGTGAGTAAGTCTCATGAGATCTGATGGTTTTATAAAGGGCAGTTCCCCTGTACACACTCTCTTGCCTGCTGCCGTTTAAGATGTCCCTTTGCTCTTCCTTCCTCCACCTTCTGCCATGATTGTGAGGCCTCCCCAACCATGTGGAACTGTAAGTCCATTAAAGCTCTCTCCTTTATAAATTACCCAGTCTCAATTATGTCTTTATTAGCAGCATGAGAACAGACTAATAGAGCCGCATCTCTCAAAAGCGAGAACAGACATATGTCTGCGGTAACATCTTTTATTTGATGCCCTAGCTTCATTCCTGGGCTGCCACAGAGCCACTCAAAATGAAATTCAAATTCAAACAACAGTGAGACACCACCACACACCCACCAGTATGGCTACAATAAAAATGCAGAAAATACCAAGTGTGGGAGAGGATGGGGAGGAACTGAAACTCTCATACACTTTGAAAAACTATTTGGCAGTATCTTCCAAAGCTGCATGTGCACATATCATGACCCAGCATTTTCACTTCTGCATATCACCCAACAGAAACACCTACCTATGTCCAGCCAGAAGACAGGCAGGCACAATGTTCACAACAGCACTGTTTGTAAGGGCCAAAATCTGGAGCAAAAAATGGAGAAAAATAGTAAAATGGATGTGGTATATCCACACATATACTACACAATATATGAAATGCATGATCTATGACCACGTGCAATGATATAGATGAACTGAACAAACATAATGTTGCACCGAAGTCAGACACAAAATTGTATAAACTATGAATACGCTTCCATCAGTATAAGATCTATAAACAGTTAAAGCTATCCATGCTGCTAGAAATCCAGAGTGACTAGAAAGGAGGATTACGGAAGCTTTGGGATGCTGGTAATATTCTGCTTCTTTACCTGGGTTCTGGTTACACAGGAATATTTAGTTTTTGACGACCCATCAAGTTGTACACGTATATGTGAAAATCTCTGTCTATAAAAATGTTTTGAAAACTAGGTCCATATATCAGAACCACCAACTGGAGTTGCAGGCCACACATTTGCTAAAGCTGCTTGTTACAAAAAGCTGAAACTATTCCAGGATGCACTGCTCCAGCACTTGGGGTGGAGGTGAGGGGAGAGGAGGAGGTAGGGGGTGGGGAGGGAACTTTCTGACTCTGGCTGGGTCACACCTCTGAGATGCTGCAAGAACAAAGAACGACAGGGGCCAGGTGTTGATGGGAGAAGGTGACTGGTAGACAGCCTCGGGCTTTCTGAGGTATCTGAGGTCTTTGATGGCCTCAAGGCAAACACTGCCTCCTGTCAGGCTCAGAACAGTAAAGACTCTCCAGCCAGCCTTCCTGAGTGCCAACAACCACAGGACTATGCAGGTCTAATTTCTAACCACACATGAAGGGAAGGAGAATGATCTCTGCTGATAAACCGAGTCTGGAAACTTTGTTACATAATGCAGTAGAAAAAAAGACAGGAGAGAGGGAAAAACATATGAAGTGGTTCTTAAGTAATTTCTAAGAAGGAAGCTGCAGCAGGAACTCTGGCTACATACCAGAGATCGCCCTTTTATTTCTTTCACTTAATAACATTAAACAGGAAAAGAAGGAATGGAAATTCAGGAACTTTAAGGTCCCACTAGGACCAGTGTAGAGGAGGATTCATCCTGCACCAGACCTATAGGCATGGACTATACCATGCCCATGGTGCCAATTAAGCTTTAAGGATCGCACTTGCTAGCATTGGAGAGGTTAGGGGGTCAGGGAGAGGTGGTACCTAAAGAAGGAAAAAGACGACTATCTGTGTTAGACCACTCTTGCATTGTTATAAAGAAATACCTGAGACTGGTGATTTATTTTAAAAAAAAAAAAAAAAAGAGGTTTAATTGGCTCACGGTTCTGCAGGCTTTACAGGAAGCATGGTTCTGGCATCTGCTCAGCTTCTAAGAGATTTCAGGAAACTTAAATCATGACGGATGGTGAAGGGGGAGCAGGCACATCACGTGGCAAAAGCAGGAGCAAGAGAGACAGAGGGTGTGGGGAGGGGAAGTACCACATATTTCTAAACAATCAGATCTCGTGAGAAGTCACTCACTATGGTAAAGACAGCAACATGCCATGAAGAATCCACCCACATGACCCAAACATGTCCCACCAGGCCCCACCTCCAGCACTAGGGATACAATTCAACATGAGATTTGGGCAGGGACAAGCATTCAAACTATATCACCATCCCGTAACATCCCATGGTTGTGGAAGGGAAGGGAATGGGCAAAATCGGTGGTTGAATTTTGTTGACAACCAAAACTTGGTGGACAACCCCTTTTTGGTATCCCAGTGGTAGAAACCATTTGGAGAAGGTTGGGAAGTTGAATCAGCCCAGGATTTGTGTGGTCTCCAGCCTTCCAGGAACAAGATCATGCTGGACAAAAACTTCAGACCTCCACCCACAGGATCTAGAAAGGCCAGGATGGAAGAAGCCACAAGGAAAGGTGATACTTAGAGCTCAGTGATGCTGGTTAGGGAGTCTTTAAGGACACTTGAGAGCCAGCATCTGTGCCCTCATCCTGGCTTCAGATTCTGTGGCCTAAGTGCTAAAACCTCCCGCCCACTCCTACAGATGTGAATCAGAGTCAGGGAAAAACTGGGGGTGGGTGGTGGGAGTCAGAGAAGAGAAGAGCACACCAAACCCAGGGTATTATGTGAGAGGGAGCTGGATCCATAGGGCCTGCTCTGCATCTGCAAGTCCAGATGCAATTGCAACATACTTGGGCAGTTAGCATCGCTACCTGTGTGCAGAAGGCTGCACAAACAGGAAGAGGAAATATTCAAGCACTGGCTCATTCATTTTAACTCCAGAGAGTGTCTAAAACAGATCCCCAAGAGCACGGAAAGTTTCAGATTTGTAGCCAAGCAGATAAAGATGTGGCTAAGGAGGGTATTCCAAGCCAGATGCCAAGTGTATGCCCTCTGTGAGTGCAATGTGCATTGCCCGTGGGCCTAGAGCATTCTAGAATAGATATGCAAAATACCTGACCACTTAGGGAAAGTTGAGATGAGTCACTCTTTCGAAGTGTAACCATTTAAAACATCACACTTAGTATCTTTGAGCCCCATAGCACATGCACTGTGAAGAATAAAAATTCAGATAAAATTTAGACTTGCATGAACAATTGTTTTTTTTTTTTAAATAGACACCAAAGGAAACTCAAACCCAAATTCTAGATTCAGAATGCCCAACACTGCTTACCAGAGACAATGGTTTTCGGTGCAGGTTTTAAAGAGTGGTAAGTATTAGATTCAGATGCTAAGCGGCACAAGGAGAAGACAGTTTTGCTGCTCACTCAGTGGGTTTTCTCAGTTTTAGACAAAGGCCACAAGGGATCTTGGGGGGCTCCAGACACTATCTAGTAATTGACAAAAATGATGATCATGATATGAAATACCTGGAGTGCTAATTTCTTTAGAAACCAAATTATATAAGACCTTTGAGGCATGTGAATTTTCATCCTCAAAGTTCAGAACTGCCTGGAAGAATCAGAGTTGATATTGTTCATTTTTAAATACTGTACAAGTTCTGCTAGATGGCTAGCATCATAATGGGGTAAGAGCAGATCCTGAATAGATCTTTCCTAGCACCCTTAGCCGTTTCCCATGAACCTTAGAGAATCAAAGACCTATAGGCTTAGTGGATACTAAGGGAGATTTGAAGATAACAATGCCATGAAGGCGAAGCCCTTCTCCTACCTGACCCAAGCATGTCAGGCCAGAGACAGTAAGAAAAGGCACCAGAAAAGGCATTCCATGGATAAAAGAGAAGCCAGGGCCCTCCACCCTTTTGAACTCTTTGAAAACTGGAAGGGAAGGCCTGTAGGCAGATGCTCGGACCCTCATGATCTCTTTCAGCCAGGTTCTTGCACTATATCAGCTGATGAAGTCCTTTCCTTCAGTTTAAACACGTGGACTCCTGTACTGAGGGCTCAGGAGCTGTGCTTTCTGACATAGCAGGAAGATATCGGGAAGGTAGCTAAATTCTACTGGCAGAAGCTTAAACTATGTGAGATCTAATATCAATATCCTGTTTACAGATCAGAGCCATTGGCACATAGTTAGGCGGTGAGACACCAATTCTAGGAGGTGTGTACACAAGGTGGAGGGGTGATCCACAGAAGCCTTCCCTCTGTGTTCTCCGGGGCCAAGCAAGATATGACAGGGAAGTAGAGGGTGGTCGTTTTGGTTATACAGATGCTGCATCTCTTGAAGGAGTCAGAGGCACGTGAGATTCCCAGGGTCCTAAGGGATCTGAGTTCCTTTATGCTGGAAAGCTCGAGCTTTCCAAGATAAGACCAATGGTAGCTCTCACTTATGTGGCTCTGGTAAACCTAACTGCTCCAGCCAGGAGGGACGAGATGGAAGCTCAGCATAGGAGGTGGTCAAGGAAAGAAACCTAGGACCTCTGAGGTTGAACTAGTGTATTTTTTTTTTCAAGTAAATCTGAATTTTGCATTGAGATGGGCACAGATTAGAACAGCTTAAGGGTGTATTATTAAAACGAGTGCTGAAATATTCTCTATGAAGACACTTTCCCCCAAGAATACTGTGGTATGGTTTTGAAGACCTCATAAGGCTTGGGATGGAACATAGTATGTGACTGTTGCAATGCTTTACACCTTCTGGAAATCTGTAACTGGAGGGCAGAACTCTGGTGGAGGGTTCCACTTATAAGTCTCACCCTAACAGTGTTGGTGGTACTTAAAATAATAAATTGAAAAAAATTATATTAAGTTCTCTAAACTGAAATTATGAAACATTAGTCACCATCCATACCTGTGAGCATTATCCCTGTACCTTTTCCTTGTCTCCCCTGGGAATCTCAGAGAGGCCTCCCTTGTTTTTCAAGTGAATCATATAGCAGTTTATTCCTTGATCTCTAGTTCCACAGTTCCTCTCCCCACTTCCCTCAGTATCTTTATTTCCCTTCAAATTTCACTTTACGGGTCCCTTCATCTGATCAGTGAGTTTCTTGCCAAACATATTTTAAGACCTTCTGGAAGTACCTTGCCAATAACCCATTGCCACATCATTTTTTAAAATGTTGCCAACTCTTCATTATTCTCCATATTCTCTTTTCGATTTCAAGGATAACAAGATCAATCAGTGTGGATGTAACCTGTGTTTCTCAAAGCCTCTCTGGACTAGGGTTTTAAAAGAATCACACTAAACCCTTAATTACTCCCCTTTTCTTGTTCTCCCTTCTCTGCTCTTGTCCTGGAAGAGAGATCATGACAAGGGATCGCTCATAGTGAAGGAGCCACTCCTTGGCTGGCAAGAGGCTCTCCTAATCCACTACAAACAATTAGTCTCAATCCTGGCTTTCAAATAGAAGCACCTGAGGAGCTTTTAAAAAGATGCTGATGCCTGGGTCCTATCCCACACCAATTAAATCAGGAACTCTTGGGATGAAGCCCTAGGGTTGATATTTTTTTAAAACTCTGCAGTGTGATTCTAATGTGCACTCAGTTTCAAAGCACTGTTACGAGCCGCAGTTAGCCATGATCCTTTGTTGAGCATCTATTTGCAGCCAGATGTCAGCCCACACAATCAGGGCATAAAGGAGCAGCACAAGGATTCTCCAATCAAGGTATTCAATTCTCCCACTCACTGCTTCTTGCCTGCTTTGCCTCCCCCACTCTGAGCCAGGGCTTCTATCACTAAAGCAACTCCTAAGAACACAGGGACGCTCTCTACCCCTTGCATGAACTCCTCTGCAAATCTCTTAGGCGTTAGCACTTCAATCACTATCATTCATTCAGAAAATGTAAGTCACCTTTTTTGCTTTGAGTTAATCATTTCCCATTTTCCCAGGTGATTCAGAAATCCAGTGCTCACTGACAATGAGTGGGTAGACACGTGGGCCTGCAGACCTGCCTCACTGTTCCATTAACAGCAGAACACACTTTGAGAGGCAACTGACGATGGAGCCATCAACAAAAGCAGTATTTTTCCAATCATAAAAAAAGAAGTCTGTTTCTGAAAACACAGTTTGATGTGTTTATATTTCATGCAGTGTTAAAATGCTCAGTCGGTTCTAACCTTGTTTGCATTAATCCTCTTTTTGGAATTTGCACATTTGTTTTCAAAGCATTGGGTTGGAGCATTTTGCTGCTGCATGGAAATCGTATCAGCAATCGTACTCAGAACATGAAATGAACCTGCACATAGAGCCCACGCAATTTTAATGTCTGCTAACCAACTGATAAGCACATAGGAAGGGCATAAAAGAATTAGAATAGAGAGCCATTGAGCCAACAAAGGTTCACTTTTTAAGAATCATCACCTTCTGAGGTTACTGGTTAGTACCCTCAGCACCCGTTGCAGCAGAAGCTAATTCATTCATTCACACATTCAAGAAATTTTTCCTTGGACATCTACTGTATGCCAGGTATGATTCTATGAGTTAGGGCTAGACTAAGGAATAAAACACAGTCTCAGCCCCCAAAGTCTACGGTCTTCAACTGATCATATAAACAAATAATAAGCTTTGCAAAAGCTTCTCCTCATTGGTATGCTCTTCTCCCATCTCTTTGTCTGGCTAAATTCTATTCAACCTGCTAGATCTTGAGTAAAGTATTTCTTTATCTAAAACAAGGGTTCCCAACCCCCAGGCCATGGACCAGTACCAGTCTGTGTCCTATTAGAAACCAGGCTGCACAGTGGGCGCGGTGGCACACGCCTATTATCCCAGGACTTTGGGAGGCAGAGATGGGTGGATCACCTGAGGTCAGGAGTTCAAGACCAGCCTGGCAAACATGATGAAACCCCATCTCTACCAAAAAGAGAAAAATTAGCTGAGCGTGATGGCAGGCGCCTGTAATCTTAGCTACTTGGGAGGCTGAGGCAGGACAATCACTTGAACCTGAGAGGCGGTGGTTGCAGTGAACTGAGATTGTGCCACTGCACTCCAACCTGGGTGACAAGAGTGAAACTCCATCTCAAAAAAAAAAAAAAAAAGAAAGAAAGAAAAGAAACCAGGCTGCACAGCAGGAGGTGAGCATTACCACTGAGCTCCACCTCCTGTCAGATTAGCAGTGGCATTAGATTCTCACAGGAACGTGAACCCTATTGTGAACTGTGCATGTGAGGGGTCTAGGTTGCATGTTCCTTATGAGAATCTAATGCCTGATGATCTGAGGTAGAACAGTTTCATCCTGAAACCATCCCTCCCCTTGATCATCAGTGGAAAAATTGTCTTCCAGAAAACTGGCCCCTGGTGCCAAAAAAAGTTGGGGGCTGCTAATCTAGAAAATGCTCCTTGACATCTCAAGTTAAAGTTAGGCATCCTTTCTAGGTATTTCCATAGCATCAGTGCTTACTCCTATCTGAGGACTTTGCACTTGTATTGTAATTACTTGTTGAATTATTTATATCCTCTCACTAGGCAATGAGCTACTTAAGGACAAGAGCTATGTCATGTCCATCTTTATATCCCCAATGACTAGCACTATGCCTAGCACCTATTAGGAACTCAATAGATAATTGTTGAATGAATAAGTGAAAGAGTGATTGAAGTATTCATAGGGTATTATAAGAACACAGAGAAGAGACACCTAAAGAGACTTCCTGGGAGAGGTAGCTGCTAGGGGAAGTTATAAATGGTTAAGTCTGAATTATCCAGGATTAGGCTGGTTGGACAGTAGAGAGAGACATTCCAAGCAGAAGGATAGCATGATAAAAAGAAACCCACAAAAAAAAAAAAACAAAAGAGGCATGCCAGAAAATGCCCAGCAACACGTGGAGAGGGCACATGCTAAGGCAGCCACAAGGTCATGAGGGATGGAAGGTTCCAACCAAACCAGACTCAAACTCCATTCTTCCCTTTGTTCCCATCCAAATAAAAGAATGAAGACACAGATTGGAGAAGTCCTAGAAGCTGATCTCCAGGATTTCCATACTTGTTGCCAACATATTACATAGTCCCCAAGTCACAAACCATGCCAAAAACTCTCCTTTGACACAAGAACTATGTCTTACCCTGCCCTGTGAGGTTCAGTGCAGGGAACCCTCCAGGGGAAAGGTGCCAGGTCATCTTCTTAATACACTTCTTGCAGAAGGTTTCTGTCTCTTATTACAAATGGTGGTAAAACACCTTGTTCGCTTTGGTAGGCCCAGTTTTCCTCTGCCCAGCTTCTTCCTAAAACCTAGCTCCTTTCGTTCAACCTGAGAAACCCTTAGGAGAGCATATTGCCTTATTTATCCTTACTCTGCTGTTTTTTGTTTTTTTGTTTTTTGAGATGGTGTCTCACTCTGTTGCCCAGGCTGGAGTGCAATGGCATGATTTCGGCTCACTGCAACCCCTGCCTCCTGGATTCAAGCAATTCTCCTGCCTCAGCCTCCCAAGTAGCTGGGACTACAGGTGTGTGCCACCATGCCCGGCTAATTTGTGTATTTTTTAGTAGAGACAGGGTTTCACAATGTTGCCTGGTCTCGAACTCCTGACCTCCAGATCCACCCCACTCCACCTCCCAAAGTGCTGGGATCACAGGTGTGAGCCACCGCACCAGGCCCATTGTCTTTTTAAATATTAATTTCAGTGATTTCATCATTTACATTCAATGCAACCAATGTCCTATTTAAGGTGATTCCAGAGCTTCAGTAAAACATCTCTGATTACCCACTTCAAGTAAGAAATTCTAAGAAGATCAGCTGATAGAGTTCAGTCATTGATTAATTCAACAACTATTTAACACATCTGTGTCAAGCACTATGCTGGAGTCTGGAAATTTAAAGATGAATGAGAAATGGTCTCTACCCTTAAACCGTCTGCAGTGTGGAGGAAGCTCTAGGATGGGGAAATTGCTTATGTGGGGAAGTGCTGAGGCCACTGCTGACCTGCCTAAGCCAGCACTTCAGGTTTATGCAGGTCCCTGGATCAGCAGCACAAGCATGACCTGGGAACTTGTTAGAAATGCACATACTTGGGCTTTTCGTACAAACCTAATGAATCAGAATAAGAGAGTGAGGCCCAGCCACCTAGTTTTTAACAGGCCCTCCCAGGAATGCTGAGGCTCACTTTGGTTTGGGAATCTCTGGTCTAAGCTCTGTTCTGAATCGCACCAGGCCAATATGGAGGGTGATTAGCCATTCCCAGCATTCTTCTCTACATCCCCCCTTTTCCTTTCAGGATATTAATGGGAAACATCAATCCAGAGTGACCACCCAAAATGAAGTAAAAATACTATTTTCTCACATAATGGCAACACATGACACCATTCCCAAATCACAGAGATGGTTTTATGAAGATCAGTATGGTATGGACTAAACCGACCAGAGTCACATCAGCATCAACACGAGGGAATCAGAAAGGATAACATCATCATAGTCGCATGCATTAGTCTGTTCTCACACTGCTATGAAGACACATCCGAGACTGAGTAACTTATGAAGAAAAAAGGTTTAATTGACCCATAGTTCCACATGGGCTCTGGAAACTTACAATTGTGGCAGAATGCAAACGGGAAGCAAGGTACGTCTTTCATGGCAGCAGGAGAAAGAGCCACAGGGGAAACCGCCATTTATAAACCATCAGTTCTCGCGAGCCCTCCCTCACTATCACGAGAACAGCATGGGGGAACCGTCCTCATGATCCTCCCAATAGCCCCCAATCACCTCCCATCAGGACCCTCCCTCCACCACGTGGGGATTACAATTCAAGATGAGATTTGGGTGGGGACACAGAGTCAACCCATATTGTCTTCATTCTCCCCCCTGGCACTTGAAGGGAAAAAAGAATCACATGAGCTTGACTATTCAAAAAAGAAGCAGGAGCTCCAGTTATTTCAGTTCATGGGAATGGAAAAGGGATAAACCGAAACAATAAACTTGAATGCTTAGGAACATAAAGGCAAGGAGAAACGAGATCACAATCTTGGCCTCTGAGTTCTACAACCCTATGGTTGTTTTAAACAAATTAAAGCAGATTGCTTTCTTTCTGGAGTTCTAGTGAAACAGATCTTGCCACCAGCAGACCCTTCCAAGCTCCTGGCCGCAGTTTATTGGCTCATTGCCACGTGTCATTAGTGACCTATTTTCGCTGCTGTGAAATCGGCCGTGTCTGAAGTCCCCTGAATCAGCAGTTTCTTCCTCCACTCACCGGCTCCAGGCTGGCAAAGCTGACACCAGTGTCACAGAAAATGCAACCCACTGCCCTCTCCCCAAAATGTGGGGAGAGCACGGTTTTGCTATGAAGATGTCGGCTTTGACCTGAGGCTGACTTGAGAGCCCAGCTGTCATGTCTCTTCCAAATAAGCTGCTGAACATGGAATTATCTTGGCTGAATAATTAATCAGGACTAAAAATAACCCCAAACTGCCTGGGCTTTGCTTAAATCCTACACAGGTGAGAGAAGTAGTTTTTTGTTTTGTTTAACGTAATTGCAAAACCCATATTTTGAAAGGCTCTGCACCAAAATATGAAAATAATTACCCAACATGCCAATTTGGGAGGTAATTCACAGTTAATCTGGCTCTCTTAAAAAAAAATGCCACCTTTTGAATTGCACATTGACTTCAGATTGTCAGTTCTTCGTGGTTATGAAAAGCAACCGAGAGTTGTACTCAGAATTTTCTAAGAATACCTTCAAACACAAATCCATGGGGAAAAAATATATCCGTTGGTATAAAGAGCTACGAAAGAGAGCCTGTTACTAGGCAGATTAGACAGTGAGTCAAGTTCCACAAGAGGGCGCTCTCCCTATGCTTCCTTCTCAAAGCTGAGGGCGCTGCGTTTCGCCCCGGGCTTGGCTGCCCTTTCCTTTGCCCTTGTGCAAAGATGTGCTCCCAAGAGCGAATGCTCAGTGTCCTGTGGAATGCTACTCCTGTGACCACTTTCTGATTGAGATCATCAGGCAAATGTTATCTCTGTAACATCAGAGGAGCAACTTCAAATGAAGAGAAATCAAGCAAAACATTAAAAATACAGAGGAAAGAAACAAATAAATACATCTAAACTGCCTGCTCTCCATGGTAATCTAGCTTTGTGTGTTCATTTTCTTGATACTGCTGTGATAAAAATAGGATGTGATGAAATGAATTACATCCATCACAGCAATCTTGTGTACAGACCGAATCTCAGACCCAGATGTGGCTCCAACTAACCAGTGACCATGAGCAGGGCCCAGGTGTATTCTGGGAGGCTGCTCACCCTCCGTGCCATTTCTTTCCTTCCCATAGGCACAGCCTCACCTTGCACTGAAGACAGATTCTACGAATCTGCCTCTCATCCTAGATGGCCACTAGGCAACTCCACTGGGACCATTTCTTCCTGCTCTATGCTCCCGTGACCTTCATTCATACTCCCTCTTCCTCTGCTGGAAACCTACTTCTTTTACCTCCTCAAAAGTAAAAGGACCAGCTGGTGAACAAAAGAATAAATTTGCTCTATCTAAAGAGAAACATTAGAAGAATGGAGGAAAAATTGATGCAAGGCAGATGACTTGGGCTCATCATAAAGCACTGAGCAGTCAGCAGAACATTAAGAACAGACTTCTATTCCCTACCACAGACATACCCATCTGCATACCTGAATGCTGAGACCAAGCCTCACCAGATGCCAGCGGCATAAATGAGAGGAGTCACTTACCCTGTGAGGCTCAGGCTTCTCAACTGGAAAAAAAAGATAATAAAAATATCAGCTCAGTTGGGCGTAGTGGCTCATGTCTGTAATCCCAGCACTTTGGGAGGCCAAGGCGGGTGGATCACCTGAGGTCAGGATTTCGAGACCAACCTGGCCAACATGGTGAAACCCCATTTCTACTAAAAATACAAAAATTAGCTGGGCGTGGTGATGCATACCTATAGTCCTAGCTACTCAAGAGGCTGAGGCAGAAGAATCGCTTGAGCCCAGGAGGCGGAGGTTGCAGTGAGCTGAGATCACTCCACTGCACTCCAGCCTGGGTAACAAAGCAAGACTCCCTCTCAAAAAAAAAAAAAAAAAAAAAAAAAGCCTAATGAATTGTCAGTCTCAAGTCAGTGGGTAGCCAGTGGGTGACCTGGTAATGTAATCATTCTGTGAAAGAGAGGGTCCATAGAATACAACGAATGTGTGATCTTGTTACTTCATTTTCTGTGATGTGGGTTGAATAAGAGTCACAAAGAATAAGAGAAGAGCTGTGGTTGTTGGTACAGAAATAAACACTGTTCATCTTGAAACTCTCACCTCGTCCCCGGAAGTATCCAATAGAATTTACTGATGTATATTTCCTACCCAGTGTAGTCAGTTAATGTGTAATAAAAATGCTGAAGTCCACAGCTTAAATTATTAAAATTCTAGCAGGTATACCAGGTCCTGCTTGGAAATGCATGCAAATCTCTTCATTTGAATAGTTGATTTAATATCATTAGTTCCACCCTATATCCTCTGGTTAGATCTCAGCTCTAATGAAGCCTCAGGAGCTGATGGTATTCCCTTACAGTCTTGTTAGTTTTAGAGAGAAAACTCTCCCCACAACCACAAAAGTCTTCTCCTAAGCCCTTAACCTAGATATGTCACAAGGAGCATGAAGCATCATCACTCCTGGGACAATGACCCTAAATCCTTGTCCCACTGAGATAGTAGCCCTATGTTCCTGTCAATAGGAAACCCTTGGTCATTTGTTGTGGACCAAGAGGAGGCTGTGGCCAAAGGAGGTTAGGAAGAAAACCTGGTTTGGCAAAAATGATGCAGAACAGGGACTTGCCAGACAGTAAGGGTAAAAAGAAAATGACTTCTAACTGGTTATGTGGCTGAAAGTCAAGGTGCAGTTGCACCTTGTGGCCTTTGGCTCTCCAGAGGCAGGAAAGAGGATAAAAAGGTAGTGGAAATACCTAGAAGATGAGACCTGAGACCAGCAGAGGCAGAGAGGTCTTTCTGGCTTTCTTTGGGAGAGTAGCATTCCTCATTTCTCAACTCTGTGCTCCCTATGACTTCTGTTTAACTTCTGTCAAAGTACTTGTCACCCCACATTACTCTTTCCTATTTGTCTATGTTCCTCAGTAAACTTCAAGCTCCACGTGAGCCAGAACCAGGTTTGCTTTGTCCATAATGATGAATAAACTTGTATCCCCCAAACTGATTACAGTCTAGGTTCATAGTAGATGCTTAATGAAAATGTCTTAAATGAGTAAATGAATGCTGTATGCAAAGGTTAGCCCTGAAGGAGAAATGAGCAACATTCTAATGGAGATGTATGTGGCACAGAACTTGGAGATCAAAGTCAACCTCTTGGGTGGACTTCAGGGATGGGTTTTAAACAAAGAGGCAGGAAGATCCATAGCATTACTTGGGGGATGAATAAGACTCTAGAAATGAGTTGGCCCAGAAATTTGGGGTACAAGCAATACTCACGTTGTTTGATATGAGTTACAGAGTATTTTCTTCTATTTACTACTTTCTTAAATTTAATTATGTGATAAAAAGTGATCACTGTGTGTATTAGTCGTTTTCATACTGCTATAAAGAACTACCTGAGACTGGGTAATTTATAAAGAAAAAGGTTTAATTGATTCACCGTTCCACATGGCTGGGGAGGCCTCAGGAAACTTACAATTATGGCAGAAAGTGAAGGGAAAGCAAGGCATATCTTATATGGCAGAAGTTAAGAGAGAGAGTAGGGGGAAAATACCACTTTTAAACCATCAGATATGAGAAGTCCTTCACTATCATGAGTACAGCAAAGGGGAGATGGCCCCCATGATCCAATCACCTTCTGCCAGGTTCCTCCCCCAACACGTGGGGATTACAATTTGAGATGTGATTTGGGTGGGGACAGAATGGAACCATAGCACTGTGTATTTCAAATACTTCAGAGATGATGGGCACATAAGGGAAAAAGAATAGAGGGGGGACAATTTCCCTCAGGTGTCTGGAAGAACTTTCACAAAAACTAACTCATAGGTTGTTCTACAAGAGGACGGATAGCTCTTAACACCTAGTAAATAACTTCTCTATCTGAAGTCTGCTTCTCTTTCTCTGATGTTGTTGATTTGTAAAGGGGTTTTGCTCCATCCCCCATTCTCCTTGATTAAGCTCATCTGTGAACACCAGGAGGCTGGTCTGCTCACCCCTACACAGGTGTCCTTTCTACTTTTTTTTGGGGGGGGGGACAAAGTCTCGGCTCACTGCAACCTCACTTCCTGAGTTCAAGTGATTCTCCCACTTCCGCCTCCCCAGTAGCTGGAATTACAGGTGCACGCCACCATGTCTGGCTAATTTTTTGTATTTTTAGTAGAAACGGGGTTTCGCCATTTTGGCCAGGTTGGTCTTGAACTCCTGACCTCAGGTCACCCACCTGCCTCGGCCTCCCAAAGTGCTGGGATTACAGGCGTAAGCCACCACGCCCAGCCCAGGTATCCTTTCTTAGATGGACTTTACATCAGTCCCACTATCAGGCCCCAAACTAAGGTCAGTGTCTTAAGATTTGAAAGTCAATATGTCTATTAGTACTACTTAAGGGGAATAATTGTGTGCTACTTTTGGCTTCAGTAAGTACTGTAGGCATATCACAGCAAAGGCTTTAGAGGCTTAGAGAGAAATCGAGATAATTGCGCAAAGGTGGTGACTTAAAACCAGCTTTACAATCTATGTTATTCTCTTCACTGGAGAGAATCCTGTAAAAGGGGGCAGTT